CCCTCAGGACCTCTTCTTCTCACTGTGGATTCCTTACCCCTGTGTGTGCACTGCAAAGTTTACTCCCTGCTTTTACGACTTTATTTTTCCAGGGATCATATTCCCGCTAGCACTTGTACACATGATGGGGGTTTAGTCCTTCAGGGTTATATTCTATGCCCCCTAAATTGAAACAGTGAGATTTTAATTGAAACTGTGGGTTTTATTTTTCCATCACTGTATACCCATCATTGTCCTGGCAGTTGCAGGTGCCTGCTGAGGCAACTGTGGCAGGGGGCCCGATCCTTTTTATTTTTGCATTCCAAGTTGCAATGTTGCAAACTAAACTATATTGGGATGTGGTTTAATTTGTGATGATGCAAACTCATTTAAACCCCTCCCAAAACTCACGTACATGTAAAGTGTAACAAAGTTAAGCCACACAAAGGGAAAATTTTGTCATGTGTACATGGTAACATCGTCATGTATACAAGTGACCCCGCCCCCCGCCCCTCCCCATGTCCTGGCTCCACAACTCCCTTTCTAAGTGTCAGCACCATGGGCGAATGGTGCCTCCTGAGTTTGGGGAGGGCATGACCACAGTGACCAGCTGGCAACCGGGGAGGAGGGGGGTCCCCCAGCGGCCAGTTGCCAAGTGCAACAGTGGCACACCAGCAGAGCCAATTTCAGGAAGGGCACAAGCATTCTCTGTGTCTCCCTAGCAGCTGGAGAACTCGCTCTTGGTGGGGCACCAGTACCCCCGCTACACATTGTCTATGGTCAACACCCTGTCCCCATGGGTGTTGTTCTTCCCAGGATTTCTTCCTCCAGGTTCATTCTCAGGTTGTAGTCCTCTCCCTGCTCGGTCTCTGCACCATCTTTCTCAAAAGGGCTCAGTATCTTTTGTTGGGAAACTGTGGCTGACTTCCCCTTCATCTCTCTCTGTTCTTATTCTCTGTTCCCCCTAACAGCTAGATCATGCTATTCTAGGTAATATAGATACCTGTTCAGCAACAGCTCCTGCATAAGAGCTTAGGCATTGGCAGGGTCTTTTTGTAATAAAGACAACAACTGCTCACTGGATATAGTTCCCTTGCCAGTCCTATACCTCTTGTTACAGTTCTTGCAAATATTTAATCTGCATATCCAGCTGTTCTGGTGGCCTTCTCTTTTTCTGCCTCTCCTGGGTTGTTAGGACCTTTGGTTTTTCAGGCTAAGGCCTGTTCCCCAGCCCTAGACGCAATTGCAGTTACCTTCTCTTGGAGTCCTCACAGCTTTTCCTCTCACTTTTGACTCTTCTCCATATTTGCCACAATTAGCTTCTACATTTCTTTATTTTTCTCTGCCTCAGCTGCTAACAGGTGTCTCAATTCCTTATTTTTGCCCTCTTTGCTTCCTGGCAGCATATTGTGCTTTAAAGAAGCTACTTCAGCCTCAGCTAGCTTGCAGCTTTGACATTCAGCCTTCAGCTCCCACCATAGGCACACTGTCTCCTCAACTAATTCATCAAGAGGTAGAATTCCTCAGAGAATAGCTGAGACTTTAATAGTAAATATTCAAGCTTCCCTATGTGATTGACTTCCCTACGCTCCTTCTGGGGACTCAGCCATCTCTCCAAGGCTTCTCTTGTACCTTCCTGCATGCTTTCTTGTTATTCGATCAGGAACTGGTTCAGGTGTTGCAGCTTCTCTCATTAATTCTTGCTGCAGAAACTGGAGATGTTGAAACTGCTGAGGCTGGAACTGGATTTGCTGCAACTACCAACGTTGCTGCTGCTGCTGCAGCTCTTTCAGTTCCTTCAGCAGAGCTTCTATCTCCATACTAGAGGTCACTTTAAACTGCTGGACTTTACTTCAAACTGTTGTAGCTCACTTTAAAGTGTTCCTCACATTCTCCACCACATGTAGCAGGTTGAGGATTACTCAGCTCAGTCCTTTATTTTCATAGGCACTCTTGCCTTACAGGAAACTCCACAAACATACATCCTCAAATCAGTAAACAACCATAAACATGATCCATAAAGGGTTAACTCATAGTCCTGGACCTTTTCCCAGACTCTTGAGAAAGTGAATCCAGCTCTCTGTTACTCTCTCAGCACTTCAGTCTTCCTTGTCTCCCTCTCTAGTGCGTTCCCTGGTGTAGTAGTGCTACTTCCAGTCTCAGCTGCTATGTCTCTTCATCAAAGGGTAAATACAGATGTTACAAGGGAACAGGTTGATTTAAGTGTATGTGTTATCTTGACCACAACAAGCCATGGATGATTATCAGTGACTTTAATAGGCAGGGTGTCAACTGAAGCTATAGCGTAACTGATAAGAATCGTAAGCCAGTTGAAGTATGGATAGAAGGCATTCCATCTGAGCTTAACTCATAAGCCCTAACTGCTTGTTTCTTTCGGAAACATCTGATGTTAAATGATTGCCAATTTAATTTCAAGGAAGTGGACTGGAAGGACTAAACTGATGACCTTTGTGCTGTTATAGGAAAAGCTGAACCAGTATCAGAAAATTACAACTAGTTTGTCAATATAGAGCACATTGCCTCAAAGTAGCATATTCCATGATGCTTCAGAACACATAATATGGCCAGATTAACATCCGAATTCGATGATGTGTAAGCAAAATACAAGTAGATGTTTGAAGATAGACATTGCAGCAGAATCTCATTGACAGTGTAGACATGACCCACAAAAACAAGAAAGCATGGATAATAATCTGGAAGTTTAACAATGACACAAAGAAGGCAATGTGGCATTACCGATCCAGTCATATACCAATTCATAGAAAATGGTAAGTCCAAATAAACAACCCAAGACATGGCCTAAGCAACAAGAACACCAGGAGACAAACAATTGTGTGGTACAGCCCACACAAAGGCTGAGTTAAGCTCTGAAATGCTGTCAAGAATGATAAAACTGCTGAACTAGGCAATATTCCTACTAGGTAGATCAAACATTTCAGCCCAAGTCCCTTAGTTCTTATTGTCATGCATAAAATACCTAAGATCTGTCAGAAAGGATGCGTTGTTGCACTCCTAAGGCCAGGGAAGGGTGTATCAGAAAGAGCTTCAGGGCCACATGACTATGACATAATCTTTACAAATTGAATGAGCTTCACAAACCACATAAGCCCAGAGAAATTTGAATACTGTTCAGGTGAGTCATTGCCAAGTGCTGAACCTCATGTAGTGTATTGAAAATAAATTTGAAAAGGGTCTGGTGATAGACTCTATGTTTGCTGATTTGCCAGTGACACATAATATAATATACTTCTGGAGGCTCCTCACTTAAATATATGACATTTTAGCTCATATCTTCTGATGCAACCTCTATCAAGAACCAATGGTTTTCCATCAAACTATGTGCAAAATGATGATGGCAGCAATATCAAAAACCACAAGACAGCATGCTCACACCAAAACCCTTCAACATCTATAAGAATAGAGAGAAAGAAGGGGGGTAAAGAGTGCTCTGAAACCCCCATGGCTCAGTAAAGGCATTCGAGAATGCCTGAGGGCCAAAAGGGAGGCATAGACCCAGTGGAAGAGAGGAGCCATCACCAAGGAGGAATACTCGTCCTTGGCCCGTGAGTGTAGGAGGGCCATTAGGAAGGCCAAGGCGAGGGTGGAGCTCAGGCTACCGACCAGGATTAAGGACAAGAAAAAGTCTTTCTTCAAATACATTGGGAGTAAGAAGAGGGCACCGGGTAATGTAGGGCCCCTGTTAGAAGGTGACCCCTACTCTAAAAAAGGTAATCTCTTTAAAGATCTCCACAGAGAGATGTGTAAAATAAAGTGAAACTGAACTACCTACTGTTTATTGCTTGTGTTTTGTTTTGCTTTGCTTTAATTTTTTTTTGCACACCATTTAATAATAATATAGCAATGGCTAAAAATCTCAATTAATTTGTTGGTCATTAATCTGGTGTTTTATAAGGCATGATAAAATTCCTTGTGATTAAAAGAGAGTCACATCTTCTAATTGGTTTCAAGAGCAACAGCTATTAAGATTTAATCTACCATGTTTAAGAGCAGGCATATAAAGTGACAAAGTTTTGCCAATAAAAAGATGGACAAAAGTAAGTAAAATCTTTACTATCTGAAGTTATAATGAGCTGCCACAAGAATTTTCTTTGTAATTTTTTGAGTTACTGATTATAGAAAATATTTCAAAGCTTCCAAGTCAACAAATTTAAAAATAAATACAATAAAAAAAATCAATACAATGAAAAGTTAGAATGACTATGTTAGGAATTGGATTTTTCTGATTTAACACTTTGGAGTATTGTGTGAAAGAAACAAGTCTCAATGTTTTATCAGAATCCTAACAACCCCACATAATCCATGCTTTATACTTTTTCAAGGCCTTGAGTTTGACAGGTTGGGATGAGATTCTCAGAAGTGTTTTTCCTTAATCAACAGAGGTATAACTGTTGAGACATAGAAATTTCTACTAACTCAGCAGATATAAATCACTTCCAACACTGTGCTTTTCATCACTTGTGTTTTTATGTCCTATATTACAAAAAATTACATAGGCGAATACCTCTGTTCACATGAGTAATTCCATTCTGTGTTCAATGGGATTACTCAGGTGAATTAAGTTACCCATCTGTGTATGTGTTTGTAGAATTGAAGCTGTAGGGGATCAAAGGTCATAATTTAGACTAAAAGAAAATATAAATCCTGGATAAATTAACTGATATGCTATAAGGTGCTTTGAAATTCTCTATAAGAAATGCATACTACCTACTAATAATATTGGAGACTAGAGAAAAATCTCAGACTTAGATGTCAGGTTACCTATTCCATTTATACTCTTGGTGAAAAGTGCAGAAGAAAAATGCAAGATCTGAGATTATAATTAATACAATTTGTTCAAATGCTTCGGTTTTCTAGTACTTCAAGAATGTGAGATAAAATATCTGTCCAGAGGAGATACTGGGTACAAAGTAACAACAAATATTATTATTGTAATTCTAAAAAACTGCTTTACAAGGGGGGAATACAAGTAAACAACTTACTTCTGTAGTCATGGACTGTGAAATTTGGTTTGGTGGAAGCCTCTGGTGACAGTCTAAATGAAAATCTTTGCCCAGCCGGTGACAAATCTTTGTCTGCAGCACTGACAGTTTGAATTACCTGAAATCAGATTGAAATTAAGTTTGAAATCAATTCACTATTTTAAAAGAAGTGGTTTGTAGAAGTGTAATGTAGTCCACAGATGAAACCGCAGAAAAAGACACTTAGGTAATAAGACATGATAGAGTCTCCTTTCTGCTGGAATGTTATCATTCTGGTGAAATGATAGGGAAAGGGAAGAAGGTTGAATGCCACAGTCACCTAAGAAGTTGTCATGGCCTAGTAGGTTGCATGTTGATGTGTTGGCATGAAATTATAAAAGCGTCCCCTAACAGAGGAATGCAGTGAATCTTAAATATTTAATTTTTTTTACCTAGGTGTCATAATAATAATAGGTAGATAGGTAGGTAGATTTTAACTTGCTAGTTACTAATGTCATGCTAGATTTTACACTAAGCAAATCATATGCTGATTAGGATTAATTTAAAAGTAAATTAAAATTGAGAGAGTTTTAACATTTATTTTCCAGGTGTGAATGTATCTTCACAGGCATATGCTGGAGATGGTATAGATTTACACAAGAAACTGAACTCATTTAAATAAAATAGCATTTTAATAAATGTAGGTAATTAAAAATTTTATTCTAAGAATTCCTTTTGCTTGTGCTCCTAACTTGATTTGTGACAGACATACATTTATTATCAACTTAATACTTGATTCATTTTTAAAAACTGCTTTTCATCAGTAGAAAAGCAGTTGATGGATCTCAAAGGGCACATCTACACATTGCCCTATGGTGCACTGTTACTGTGCTGTGCTTTTGTAAATACTAAAGCATGGTATAGTAACCTCCCATACTGCTCCATATGTGCGGTGTAGTTATTTTTAGCAGCTACTTCATTATAGCAGTGGACTATAACAGGAGAGCGTGCCACTACAGCAAAGTAGGTCTGATCATGTGTAGACACCTGTGGATACTACGTCAGTGTAGTACATCACTATGGCAATATAGCATCACATGTAGCATCACATGTTAAACTCCGGAGCACTTGGAGCTGGACTGAACTGCACATATACATGTGCCCAGGACAACAGCAGTTTGACCCGGGGTGGAGCAGACCCTTGGCTGACTGGGTTCAAGTTACACCCCTGGTCAGAGTCTACACGTGCATTTCAACACAGTAAAGTACTCCTCCATAAGATAGTACTGTCCCTGACAGTACTATCCTAAGGCAGGGTTAATTAATTTACTGTTCCCTAATACTGGCTCCAGTGTAGACTGCATTGCTTTACTGTAGAACTAATTAGTTAACTCCACACTAAAGTGCACACATAGATGCACCCATAATGTGTGATAGGGAATCATCACTGGTCATTATGATGATAGAGAAATATTAATTTCTGTTAAGATATAGAGAAATACACTGTGAGTTCTCCATAGACATTAGTTCTTCCATGGAAACAGCCATAGAATAGAGTACAGTTACATTTGAATGAGAATATCAGAAACAGACCTTGGTCATTATGCTTTTTCCCCTTTAGAATGGATATACTGACAGCTGGTTTTCGTAGACAGCGTTTTAGGGAAGGAACATATGCATTAAGACACCTGACAAGTAAAAGTAACATCTCATTGTTTCTTTGAGTTTCTCTTGTCTGTTTAAACCACCTGTTGTCTTTCAGGATGGCTGTCACTCTGCTAGTTTATGCTGCTTAACACAATGGTCCCCCAGGCCTCTAGGTATTACTATAATATAACTAAGAAGATGCCTGTGCATGCCTTCTTTTAATGTGGAGATGCTGTTGCACATCAGCAACCACACAGTACTTTTTGGGAAGGAAACCTTAATCCAATGGAAAGGAAAACCTAAATGAGCAGAGTTTTCTATTCCACTGCAACCTTCAATCCCCTTTGTACCCAATGGGCACTTCTACATGTCACCCTATGGTGATGTTGTTACTGAGTCATACTGCACCATACTGTGCCCCACAACGATGCTGTTACTGTGCCTTTTGGAAGTACTGAAGCACAGCGTAGTAACTGCCCATACTGTGCTGTGAACATGGCACACAGTTAATTTTAGCCACTACTTCACTGTGGCAGTACACTAAAATGGGGGGAATTCGCCACTACAGCAAAGTAGCTGCTGGTCACATGTAGACTCATGCGATCGCTACATTACCATGGCACATTTTACAGTGATGTACTGCATTGCTATGGCAATGTAGGGTAACATGAAGATGTGCCCATTGTGAAGTATGCTTGCTTTAACTGCCTGCTCAGCTGTTGAGGACTTGTATTTCATTTTTGGAAATTTCACTTTCAAACTTGTGGCCATGAGTAACCCAACCATGAGTACAAAATTGTGGACAGCATTGCTCTCAAGATCATTGGTAGCACACAAGCCTCTTTACCACAAGACTGCAGTCCATGGGAGGTAATACAAATAAACAGGACTACTAGAGTGAAGGTATGATGGTCAGGAATAACATTTTGAAAAGATGATCATGTCCACTGGGGATTCAGAACTAAGTTCCAAATGAACTACAAGGTGATACTTTCAAAGAACCTGAGGGAATTAGCGGCTGACATTTTGGTGGACAAATTTCTAGATACATCTGAAAATTTCAGGCAGGTATTCTGTTTTGTTTTTAAATGTACTGTATGCAACAGGCATTTTTTTTACAATGGCTTTTATTCATATAAAATAAATAGTTAATGTAAAGATAATCTAAAATATTAACTACTTAAGGCTTGAAATACCTGTCCTGGTTTTGCATTTTCACATACAGATGTTTCATATGGCACTGAAATTTCTGGAGGAAATTCGTTGACATCCAAGACATTTATTATAACGTTGACCTTGCTGGCTAATAGCGGATTACCTACAAACAAGTTTTAGAAAGAAAGAAATTAGGAATGCTATTCCTGAGTGTTTTAAAAAAATGCCCATTATCTGACACAAACCACAAAATTATGACCATAATTATGGTCTCAAGTACACAGCTTGTAAGAATCATGTGATTTACATCTATTATGCCTCAAACCAAGATGATAATCAATATGAAGAGTATTATCATTTTGGACAAGATTCTGACCACATTTATTACAATTACACTGAATGGTATTTACTATTCATGGAGTAAGATCTGACTCAACATGGGTAAAAATATCAGAATGGATACTGTGTGAACAAACTTTTCTCAGATCAGTTTCTTAAGAATACTACTTGTATTTAATCCCCTGATTAAACTGCTATTATTTTTAAAGAAAAAAAATACAGGTACAATTTTTACAAGATTTTACATCTTTAGGGTACTGTACCAGTATTAATTATTTAGGTGAGCATCTAGCCTATCCACATTTTATAGTTGGGGGAAATTGCACAGCGAGAATTTTAGGGACTTGCCAAAAGCAACAGAATAAGACAATGGCAGAGTTAGTACTAGCACATACAGATCTAACATTTAACCATTACAAACCATGGTTATTCTAGTAGATAACACTGTAACAGATACCCATTTGCAATACATGTAACTGTATATGTATACAAAATAATAAATATTTCAAAATACTCTGCACTGTAGCAGTATATATTTCATTAATAGGTAAGTACTCTTCAACACTGCCAGACTACTTCATGCTACTACTATTGAAAGCAATATCAATATACAAATACTACGGAATTATGTTCAAATTCAACATTTGTGTTATTTCATTCAGCTGAATTCTCCTCTACATTACACTGAAGCAGTCAAGGACATAAAAGCAATTGTGTTGGTGAGTCAAAGAACAATTTATCCCTTTGAATTTAAAAGTATGAAGAGCACTATGCAGCTACTGTTAACCATTGAAGAATAAATGGGTATATGAAATAAATCATGTCTGACAGAGGAACTGACCATTAGAAATAAGTAATAGAAGAGCTCTCTTGAACCTTCAGTCATTTTCAGAACCACACTTATGTAGAACCATTCAGAGATGTTGAATTGTTTGACCTACATGGTTAATGATTTGCTAAAGCCTTTATATTTGGGGGGTCATTAGCCTGCAACAATTTCTTCCCTATTATGTGTCCAAGGTGGCATGGCTATGTGATGCCCCTTAAACAGGGCTACAATATAGCCCTGAATAGATTCTAAGTTACATTTACTCCGCAGCATATAAAAAGTTACTTTTACAATTTACAAGTAAAGGATTTTTAATTAATTACCCTGAAACATCTGTTTGGGATCTAAAAGAAAACAGTTACTACTGCTGACTCTTCACCAGTCATAAACATTTTCAGATCAAATTCTGTTCTTCATTTCCTTCAATTCATTATCAGCTATATCTGTGCAACCTTACAGGATACAAATGAGATTACAGTGGTATAAAGAAGAGCATTTGGCCCTATAGTTGGGAATTATACAACAGTAAAATGAATCCACAAATGAATCCATAGATGAATTGGCCCTACACTGCTAACAAGTAAACAAATAAAATGTTACAGGTAGTAATGTTTTATTTCAGTCATTAGAGAGAGCAACACAGAAATCAGATGAAAACATAAGGTGTGATTCACAGAATCACTTTCAGAATCAAACCTAACTTTAAAGAGCTTGCCCCTCTTGCAGTACTCTCTGCAAAGAACATAGAATATTCAGACTGAATAACTCATGTCCTACTTCCCTTGAGCTTATTGTAATCTTATTTTAAGACAGGCACCAGACAGTAAATGTTCAGAAGTGCATCTGCAGCTCAGCAATAGATGAATAATATGAAGGGAGAAGTCATTCCTACCTTTATATCATTTTTAAAGTATTTTAAAATAACTTTCTAACAGTGCAGGAACAAAGATCATTCAAATCTATTACAAGAATCTCATAAACGGAAGCAGCAGACTCATTAAATTGTCTAAATCTTAGTAATTTGTGCTGATGACACAATTTTTCCCTATATATCGTATCCTTATGAAACTTCTTTGAAAGTGCCCCATATCAATTATTTTCTTTTTTGGTTTTCAGTTTTGGTAGTGTAGTATAAAAATTATTGGAGTAATTTTAAAAGGCCTAAAGAAGGATTTGACCATCTGACTCCTTTAAAGAAAAAAATACCAATGAGATTTTTTGGGGATTAATTCTTGTACATTGTTTTTTTAAATGCCTGTTTTAATTTCCTACTGACATTCATGACAAAAATATTGGAGGACAAATTCCTCTATCCTGATCCATTTTGAGTAGTACTTATTTTGGCCCTGATTTAATAAGATACTTAAGAATGTGTTTAGCTTTAGCCCCCTGGAAGTCACTGAAACTTCTAAAAGGCTTAAACATGGAAGATAAATCAGTATAGAAAGACTTGATTATGCTATATAGACAGAGATTATAGTACTGAAAGGAAAAATGGTCTTGTACTTCTGATACTAGCCAAGAAACTGAGATGTGAACTCACTTCCTTATTCTGCCTATGTTAGCTTGGACAAATCATGGCCAGCACTGATCAGGAAGTAGGGCTAGCTATTGTGGGATTAGAAGACCTTGCCTACTTGCAGATCTCTAGAGATTCATGTAGAGTGAGTGTCTGGCATCTCTGCATAGGACTCACCTACCCAAAGAGGACAGAGATAAGTAGGTCTCAAAGAAGAATGGTAAAATTATATCAGTGGACAAATGCAGCTATATATATATCTCACGAAACAATTTGGTTTGAAATGGAAAAAATAAAACCTCACATAATAGTTAGCTACCAAAGACCATTATAATAAATAATCAATAATTATTATTAATAAAACATTTTTATCCTGATCTGTTTTTCAAATCTATTGCCTTTCAAGATTATAACGAAGGTGCTCTAGTACTAATAATCACATTTGTTAAGGAACTGCTATCCTGGTCAGCTTAGAAGGAATGTCTACAAGTTTAAATTATTTATCCATTAATTATATATTGCCTGCCACTAACTTGAGCTATTTAAATTTCATAATATTTGTGCTATTATTACAAAATTATCTTGATCTCTGAAGAACTAGAGGTAACTTCTACTCAGGATTATTTGCTCTGAGAGAAAAGGGAAGTAAAAATTATTGTTAATTGTAAATAAAGCTTCATCTTGAAGCCACAGATGCACAGTGGAAAATAACCTAAAAATTGCTCCAGGGATGAGTCAAGCACAACTGAAACAAAGAACTGAAACTAATACATTTCTAACCTTGATACTATCTTCTTTCGAAAGTCATGGGAACTTTCAGCGCTTGGAGAACCATGCTTCCCAACCTTGTGCCCTGTATAGCACAATAGTCGTGGTGATCCTTATATGTACAGCACCCAGATGACATTTTATGATTCTAGATTCTATAATAATTTAACACATAATGGGTGTAAAAATACCAGTATTAATTTGATCACTTAGGTACCTAAACAGGACTTATTTAGAATGTAGGTGCCAAAGTTCCAAAGAATGATCCAGCTGGGCCCTGTTCCCCAATCAAAACAATGTAGGTACCTAAACTGAGGCAGTCTCTCCACCTTTTATTGCAAAGTTCCCTAGGGCTAAGTACAGACATTCATGAGGTTAAATCAGATTCAAAATGGCTGCCTGATTTAAACTTAGCTCATCCTCATGCGTACCTTACAGTTACAAACCCAGTCTCAGCAACTGGCAATCAGTCTAAACCTGTAACTGAACAAAACTTGCATGCACACAAACTAGTCTAAAAAGTACAGAACCCAGTTTAAGATCAACCTGGATCTATGTACTGTCAGACTCATTTGATTTAGGTCAAACCGATGCATGGAACTTCTGTTCACTTCCCCTGCCCAGCTCCAGGGCTAGAAAAACTCAATCACTGGTGTCAGCCCCAGCCCCAGGGCTGCTCTTTTCACACCTTGTTCTCCTGCACTGGTCTATTCTTTGCACACACATCCCCCGACCTCTGGCCCCTTGTTCCCCCTCACAGTCCCAGTGGGGAGAGAGGTGGGAAGGATGGGGGTGTAGGTTCACTGGGGGGACCCTTTCCCACCCCACCCATGGGTCATGCCTGTTCCCCCTACCCCACCCATGGGTCATGCCTAGCCCCCCCATCCCCTGGTGTACCCCAATCCCCTCCAGCAACCCCCAACTACCCCCCCCCCATCCTGACTTACCTGATATCAGGAAGACATTTGAATCCATTTAACCTCCACCCTAACACCCACAAATGTCTGTACTTAAGCCTAGAAGACTAAATTGGTGCTTCTCAGCCTGCATAAAATTCACTTTAATCCTCCCCTAACCATCTAATTGCTACCAAAAGTTCCATTACAATCTAGATTGGTGCTAGAGATGCACCTAAGCCCTGGGGGGAACCCAATCTTTTGGATATGCTTGGAGCACACCTAACTTGTACCAGCAACACTATATACAGCTTTTAAAATTGCTTGTAGTGGTAGTGGTGTCTACTTCTTCCATAATAGCTTACTAGTGAATAGACCATAAATAATAGGTAGAGCACTCATCCAGGAAGTAGGAGACATTTCTTTTAGGCTTGCCTCACCCTAGGGAGATTAAAATCTACATCTCTTACTCCTGAGAGACTGCCTTAACTACCAGGATTTAATACTATTTGAGTTATTTATTCCATATGTTAAAACTGGCCAGGCAGAAATGCAACAGTCAAATGACCAGAAGGAAAGCAAGTAAGAAGGAGTTTATGGTGCAAGGTCTGGCTTTTGAGCTCATTTCCTAGAACTGCTTATTCATTTACGTGGGACAGTCATTGGTTACTAAATGGAAACAGCCTTGGAAGCAGGGACTAGAACTGGGGACATTTACCTCCCAGAAAATGAGGCTAATGTCTAGGCTACAAAAACAATTTCCTACTTGCTTGCTCTTCTTCTGAACCCATGACTCTCCAATTTTTGCTTGT